GCACTAATTGTGGTCGGTGTTTTCCTCGTTTGGGTTTGGTGACAGATTTTATACTGTAAAAATGAAGGGTTTTCTGGAGTTCTATCAGTTTAACTATTTCAAGAAAGGACCACAATAATCTCAGAACTTTATTTTCTTGGTAGTTGATGACCAAGGCAACGTTCCTCTCCAAATTATGCAAAATTCTGCTTGTTGGCACTGTCTGTAAATCTCGGCCTTCCTAGTTAAGAATGAAATGGAATGCACTTGGTATTTGTAGCGCACTTTCTACTCGATGAACACTAGATGAAGCATGAAATCGTAGGCTACCGTGTTGTAACATAACTTTTGTAGTGTCTGCGTGAAAAACTATAAACCTTTCAACATGTAGTAAAAGGCATACACTGTGAGAATACTGCAGTTGGAAAATAAAGAAACAAAAGTGAGGTAGAGTGCAAAATAAGGCATTAACTTCTCTTGCAAATAATTTTTTTTATTTTTCAAAACGGTGTGTTTAATTTGCAAACATTTAAGAACACATTCAACAGCACTCATTTCTCGTTTACCTTGGATACAGCCTGTTCTTTCTTAGGGTGGGACTGCTGATTTGCATTTATAACCTACAAAATCCGCTTTTTCAAAAACCAATCTAATCAAATTCTTTTCGTGACGTCGTTTTTATTCTTTTAATAATTTTTGAGCAGTCAGCTCTTCGTTTGTTCCTGAACTTGACATCAAGAATAAGTTAGGTTTTCTCATGTTTATTAAAAATAACAAATTTAAATCGCTCAACAATCCCGAATTTTGGCAGGTTTTAGGAAAAGGTCTTGTCATCTGGCGACGTTTTTTAGTCTTTTTTGGCGATTATCCCTGTTGACGATGAATTGTTTCAGTCTTTACCATTTTATAATTTTTTATGAGCCAAGTAATTTTTTCCATCTTTTAAAAGCTCTACGAACGAAATTATAAATGAATTTTCGTGGTTTATTTGCGTTTTCTAAAAGGTTTTTTGTGGAAGGTTTGCCAGCTCTAAGATATACGCATGCAAGCGCGCTTTTTTCAAAGTTATTTTTTGCTTGTTTGATCTTTTTTGACCAGGTTTGATATGGTTTTATTCTCTCTACACTTGAAGGTACTTACTTAAGATGAACGAACTATGACTAGGCGGCTTGATTCACGCACTTTTACTTCTCTGCATCAAATTTCGAGTTTGTGAAGAATTTTTCAACGTTGATGTAATCTCTATTAATGCCGGAAACAATATGAAAAGTTCGTTAAATTTTCAACATCAAAAGTGGCTTTGTTGTTGTTCTTCTTCTTTTTGGCTTTTTTTGCTGATTTATCAGCCGATTTGATATCTAGGAGAAATACAGTAGAACCTTAATTTTACCACATCTTCAGAATTTTCACTCAAATTTAAAGGAACCTGAGTGGGAAGTTGTTTGGATAAACTTTTAGTAATTCAATATCAAATATGGTGCAAAATTCTACTGTATTTGCTTATTTCGACGAGATTTAAACATCAGTCGGTTTTATGTGAGAATTCTCGCATTAATGAAAGTGTAAAATCAAGTTTTCACTATATTTTGCAAAAGCCTGCTATGTCAATAAACCGGTATATTCTTACAGTATATTCTTTTATCAGTTATACATGTGCAAAAAAAGTGTGTGACATAAAGTTATCTAAAAGTAACTGCTGATTTTTTAATATTCACGATATGACACTGAAAGCTTTATTGTCTTTACGGGGCTCATTGATACTGCTGACTCACTACTGCTTCCTGGTAGTCAGAAATTAGGTGAAAATTCGGGGTTTAAATCTGTTCAAAAGATGCTGAGTCATAGTTTATCATCCAGATTAATCTTACTTGTTTTCCCAAAAAAAAAAATAGTTTTATTTAGCAATGTAAAAGCAGAACAAAATTTTAAAAGAAAGTAAAAATAGTGTAAAATACTGCAGTGATAGTTATGTTAGTTGTAATGATTTACCACCAGAACTTATTAGTTGCTAAATCCTGATGCATGTTTTTCATATGTCATCATTGCTAACCAAAATTTTAGAAATAAAAAATTCCAGACAATTCAGCTGCGTTTGACATATTTTTGTGCAAATATTCCTATGTCATATCAACGGCTTTAGATGAAACAATCTGTACCACAACCTTTCGGAAGTTTACTGCCCACGACAAAGTTTGTAGCAGACATAAGAGTCTAACTGCTGTTGAAACCTTTAAAAACTGGTTATTCTTAAACTAAAAATTGTACAATAAAAAATTTTAAACTTTTCGAGTTTTTGAGCAAAAATTTACATAAACCCTGATTTTTACTATCTTTTTCAAAACACCAAATTACTAGTTTCATAGCTACATGTCAGTAAATTTACGCTTAAACTTTGTTAATTCAACAAGAAACCAGACGGAAAAAAACATACAACATAATAAAACTATTTCCTACGAAACAGCATGAAGGAAGAAATAAAAATTGATATTCAAAGCCTGTATTTTTTATGTATTTTTTGTCAGTATTATCGTTGTTACCAGTTACAATTCAGCAAAGTGGTTATTATCATGCGAAACTTGTCGTTTGAAAAAAAAATTTTTTTTTTTTTATTATTATCATTATTATTTTTTGATCTAAATGAAACTGTTGGACTTTGCCTCTGACGAAGACTCATACAACAAACAAAATTACGAATATGAAGGACGGTGGACGAACTATAAGCGATAGTAAGCAATCAAACATTGGTTTATCGTATCAAGCATAACGCAAGAAAACGATACTTTGACACGATAAATGCTTAAATTGACTGCACTATTGCCAGGCGTTTTTTCTGTTGCTTAACCAACAGCTTAACCTAAAAAAACGTTGTCAAAAAAGTTGTAACTATAATTACAGATGTGCAGCACAAACCTGTAAAAATTTTTATTCAAAATTAGGCGCAAAAAACTATTGAAAAAATTTAATAATAATAAAGGTTGAAAAAGTTTTTAGCTATCACTCGTTATATTACTTGCTTAAAAAGTTGTCTTAAAAAGCTCAATAAAAATTTAAATTTTTAATTCCCAAATTTATTGCTTTTTCAGCTTTTGCTTTTTCGCTTTCTTTTTTATAAAAATTTAACAAGAAAATTGTCTAAATAAACTTTTGACAACCCACTATCATTTTGAACAACAGGAATTTTGTGTTGCATGTCTTACCTTTTTAGACTTCTCTTTTTCGACTCGACTTCAATACCATTTGACCATATATCAGAGTCTTTTAGTTGATTAATTAAACACGCATTATATTATTATTGTTACTATTATCATTTTTATTATAGATGTCTTTTATTCTTGTTGTTTTTATAGCGTTTAAAAGTCATTTTTAAAAGTCATTTTTCTCTTGGTGCATAAAAATGTTTGATTTGTCTTAAGTGGCAAGTTTGACAGATGAAACCATCCAATTCTGGTAGCAAATATTGCCCTCATTAATTAGACACAGTTATACTTCTTCTTGTAAAAATGTGTGAACTTGGACATTGCAGTAAAAGAATTAAAAAGGGCAGTCACTGAAAGCTTATTTCCTTCACTAAGTTCACCGTTAACTGTCTACTGCGTAACAGTTCTAAAAAAGACTTCTTTATGTACTGTTATATCAAAATTACAACTGTGATAAGCTTTTTAAAACGCTGTGTAATTTTAGAGAGGTTTTCTTTGGAGGGATACTTTTACCATTCTCTTCACGAGGAAACAACTAAAGTTGAAATAAAAAAGCTGATAAAAAAAGAGAACAAATTTTTTGTCAAAGCACTGTATTTATTGCACATATAGGCATTTTTCATACCTAATGATACTGCTTGTAAATACGTCAACCAACGACTGATAAAAAATACAGTGTAATGCGTTGAAATTCCAAAAATAAAAAAAAAGAAACAATTTTCTGTTTTTTGAAACTGAACTGTTGGTGAAACCAAGAGGAAAGGTCGTCCATGCAGTCAATGTGTTAAAGTTCACAGTTGGTCTGTATGGTAGATTAGTTGTTAGTTGGGTTTTGTTTGTACAGTGGTAGAACAATCACTTAGTAACAACGGCCGCTGCTGGTGGTGCTGCTTGCTGTTGTTAATAAGACCGAGTCGGAAGATCATAGTGGTAACTGATATTTGACGTTTGACTTCGTATGTCATACACCATCTTTTTCAGGCATCAAAGCTCATGGTGTGTCTAATCGCTGTTTATTGTAATTTTTCTGTTTAACATCAAAGTTCACGGTGCTTCCATTCTTCCTGTTCTATTGTTTCTGTTACGGAAGACAGCATGGCGGACCTGATAAATTTATAGCTGTCGTATAAATAAATTGTTGAATATATGCACTTAAAAAAAAGCAATTAAGTGGAAAAATAGCAACAACAATATTCTTCAAAAATTAAATGTGGACTCTACAAATGACCTTCCAAAAAAGAGCAGCCGATGAAGCTTCAATAAGGAACAGAGTTAAGTACTGTAAATGTTAATATAATGATAAAAAGATCTTTGGAATTAAAATTTCATAATTTGACCAACATTTTTGGATACATTATGTAACACTGTTTTTGCATTGAGATGTATAACTGATAGTGAAAATTTTTCATCCCAATCTTCTTATTTATTTTCTATTTCTATTTTTACTTTATTTTAATTTTTTTTTCTTACAGATTCATCGACTGTTGTTAACATTTGCCTAATATTATCTGGGATTTGTACAATGATTTGTTTGCTTTATAGCTCCGCAAAAAAAGTTAACAACTTTAGCAAAATTCTTTGCGTTTCATCCGGTTTAACTGCACATAACGTTGTTTTAGATGAAGACACACTACAAAAAAGGTAATTTTAGTTACAGTTTTATCTGCTCTTTGTAGTAAA